AGGTGTCAACAGGAAGGTTTCAACCACGCCCTTGGTGCCATCAAAGGAAGAGTTGAATGCACAGTCAGGGTACGCTCATTCATGTACCTAATCAAGCCACTGATCAGTCAGAACACGCAGTCTCAGTGGATGAAATTTGAAAAATCACTGAAGTTTAGAAATTCACTTGAATGCACAGTCAGGGCACGCTCATTCATGTTCCTAATCAAGCCACTGATCAGTCAGAACACGCAGTCTCGGTGGATGAAATTTGAAAAATCACTGAAGTTTAGACATTCACTTGAATGCACAGTCAGGGCACGCTCATTCATGTACCTAATCAAGCCACTGATCAGTCAGAACACGCAGTCTCGGTGGATGAAATTTGAAAAATCGCTGAAGTTTAGACATTCACTTGAATGCACAGTCAGGGTACGCTCATTCATGTACCTAATCAAGCCACTGATCAGTCAGAACACGCAGTCTCAGTGGATGAAATTTGAAAAATCACTGAAGTTTAGACATTCACTTGAATGCACAGTCAGGGTACGCTCATTCATGTACCTAATCAAGCCACTGATCAGTCAGAACACGCAGTCTCAGTGGATGAAATTTGAAAAATCACTGAAGTTTAGACATTCACTTGAATGCACAGTCAGGGTACGCTCATTCATGTACCTAATCAAGCCACTGATCGGTCAGAACACGCAGTCTCAGTGGATGAAATTTGAAAAATCACTGAAGTTTGTACATGCACTTGAATGAACAGTCTTAGAGGAAACCAGTATGTGCAATATTTATAACTGTGGAATTCCTTCACCACTTGTCAGTGTAAATGGGCCCTTTGGAAGAGAGTACCTGAAAATTGACCTGCACTGCGAAGAAGTAATTGACAGTGAAAATTGCTGGATTTTAAAGAAAGATGTAGCAACACTTGAGAACTGTTGATTCAATGAACGTGTCGCTCTTGAAGATGCTACTGAAAACTTAATATCTCTTGGCCATGTTTCCAAACCTTTAGAAACCTACAGCAAAAGTCATTAGATGTCATTATGTTTGTGACTGCTGCGTGTAAAGACAAATTTGATTGTCTGGACAGAGAGCAACAGCCTGTGACTAGGTGCCATCAGTTATAAAGAAAGGCATCACATCAAATGATACAAGGCACATCAGTGGGTAAAAATCCCACCTCTGTCTGAGTTCCAGGGAGCGCTTGAATGCAGCACAGTGTGGTGGCACGATAAAGTGCTGTTTTCATCTGGGGCACATTTACCCCACTGGATGCCACATATCGTTACAGTATCTGTACGATACCTACATGCATCTATTCCTTGCTGTGCAGCAGAAGTGAAGTGACAAGTCACAGATTCTGTGATGGTCATGTCACGGGTAAAGCAAGGCAAACCTTATATGCCAGCAGATTCACAAGATCTTGCCATATGGTTTCATCCTACCTCAACTGTAGTACGTTGTTGTTGTCTTGAGCCATCTTTCAGGTCCATAAACAGCTTAGCTTACTAGGCCCAACATTTGTTCTGGTCTTTCCAGTAATGTGCAACACGTCCCAAACAGTTCTTCACCTAAATGCCAAATCTTCAAAGTGTGATTGTGTGAAAAAACTGCAGCCCACAGACAGATGATTCAAATTGAATTTTGTTTAAAAAAGAATCGGAACAGAGCTTGTTCCTGCATTTCATTGATAAGAAGTATAAAAACCCTTCAGGTATCTTGTGGCGTCACGGTCAACTCCATTCATTTTACTTTTAGGGACATAGATGAACCGTGTACCGTGTCGTTCAAATTGTCAGTCAACTTCATGACTAAACTTCTGCAAAGGGAAGGAAAAGAGCAGTGCATTTTGATGGTAAACCGTCATCACCAAAAGTATCACTGATTTCAGTGAGGCTTTGTGAAAAAAAAAAGAAGACAAGACTCTCTACATGTACTTTGTATCATCTTTTGTGGAGAACGTTTGGGACCTGTTGCACTTGTATTGCCAAAGACTGAAGACTAACCAGCTCCATGCATTTTTTTTAGTGATGCAGTAGACAAAATACCAAACTTGCTCAGGCAATGGTTGCAAATGTACATGTACACGCAGGTGTACTGTGGCACTTGCATGTGATTAATGCTATTGAACAATCTAGTGCAGCGCTATGCACCCACTACTTGAATGTACCATTCAAAAGTGGTGTAGGCGCCAAATCTTGATTTCTGTCACTCTAGATATTACATAGGGTACCACCCTCTTGTAATCTTTCTATGCAACATTCTGTGTAATGTTGCATCTGCTTCTTTATGTACCTCACTGAATTGATTTTGGTCAGATGTCAAAGGTAAAAGAAGTGGGCCTCTATTTTGATCCACAGTGACATTCAGAATGCACTGGTACTGAATACTGTGTACGTTTAGCTTCCAAACTGGATTTTATCAACCCAATTGGTTGGAGGAGCATGACTGAATCTAGGAATTGCAATTGAAATAAAAGTATGAACAACTGTTATGATAGATTAAGGTCATTACGTCATATCTCTTGATGCCCAAGTTATGTTGTCGTTTCTGAACAAAATGTCACAATTGTTAAATTTGTCGCATTTTTTGATGCACGAAAGTAAATTTATTCCAAATGAAGGGAAGGAAAAGTTATTACCTATTTGAACTACAATAGGGCATGTTGTCAACATGCTTGCACCCCGACACCCACAAAAAGGGCTCAGAGTACAGAACGTGATTGTCGTACCAGTTACAATTAGTCAATTTTCTGTTAATGCTGCTAATGTTTTGATAGCAAAACTTTAGTACTTTCCATCCCAGTCGATTTTGTTCTTCAGGGTGTAGTTTTTACACTCAATTTAACGATTGAAGTTTCAGAGCTAAACTATAAACAGTCCCGAGTCACAACAATATTTCTCACTGAGAAATAAAGACTGTCAGCTTTATACATCTTATACTTTACCGAAGGACACAATTATGCTTTTTTGTATCAAAGGGGCCCACTTTTGTAACAAATTCAAGGTCAAAGGTCATTTAATGTCGAGTGCCTGATGCTGAGGCAGGCTCCAAGAAAATCTGCTCAATCAGATCAGACATCAGATTTGCAATGTAGATAAACTGAACTATGTTGTGTAAATATGTCACCCATATTTGCAGTGTAGACAGTTAGAAAAATTTGTTAGATGGTAGTTTGCATGAAGCGATTCGAATATTGAGCATTATCAACTATATTTGAAACTCTCTTATTAAAAAGTACATGCTAAAAGGGATGTACATGTATGCTCTTATTTCAAGAAAATGTGCATTGAATCAGTTGTTGACCAACAAATAATAGATAAAAAAAGGGGGGCTATATTAGCACATTAATGTGGCGTTCAACAGTTTGAATGAACAGTGAACATTACAAAAATGTAACTCAAGAAGAACTGTTCAAACCATTTCCCCAAAATGCACACAACTCTCGGAGGAGCATCAAACGGGATTACATCAGTGGTTCTGACACTATCTCTGGCCTGTTTTCAATTCATATTGTAATCTAATGTACTCCTAATTCAAGGTTTTATCGCACAGATCCAAGTGTCTCTCCTGAAAGATAATTCACCCCACGTGGAAAAGAGTGTTGCACTAGAAGCAGGGGCACAGGTTTTAACAAAGCT